CAGCTCAAAGATAAATTTGACTTTAAAACAAAATGTGGACACAGACTCCCAGCTGGGTATCTCTGAGATGGATATAATCAGTGGAATGTTGCAACCATCAAACTTAGAGATGGCAATTTTCAATTCATTCATATATATATATATATATATATATATATATATATATATATATATATGTTCTCTAATGGACTGAGGAAGCTTGTATTCTCATGAGTTGTTGCTAATGATCTCATTGTACGGTCACATAGAGGGTTGAATTATTAAGGGCACACCATAAGGGATGTCTGCTGGCAAGGGCTGGAGTTTGATTAATGGTAATTAGTCGTTAGGAATTTAGATGCTATTTACCATGGGGTGACATCGGACAGAATTACAAAGCATTGGAGCAACTTTCGCCTCCTGTTTGATGTCACCTTACTGTGCTTCTAGAGCCACCTATGGAATGTAATGGTGATCTCTGTGTTTCCTCGCTCCAGGACGGGATGAACTATGACAAACCACCAAGAATGAGGGGCCCTTGACTTTCAGACGTAGCCATGACCCTAGGAAAGGTTATCTGATGCATTCCTTTTTCTTCCTTTGCAGTTTGAATTTGCATAGATAACACCACCTTGCTTCTTAAAACTGTCCCAAGCAGTGGCTGGGAGAAACACTGCCAGAAAAGTTGGAAATGTTCTGCATATACTTAGTGAGAAAGTCTAAAATGAGTGAGTTGCTTTAAGGAGAGACACACTGGGGTGTCACTCAGAGGACTTCTTTATGAGGTAGTGATTTCCCAACTCAGCATTTTTATGCAACCTACACAGGCAATGGGCATTAGGGAATGATGCTTTTCATGATAGCGTGGGTAGACATGATGGCCATCTCCAAAGACCATGGGTATTAGAGGACAGATGCTTTTCATGACTGTATGAACAGACAAGATGTCCGTATGTAACTCCATTATAAACTCAAGCCAAGTCTGCAATCCAGTTCCCCATTCAGAAGCATTGTCTACAATGTTGCTGATTGGCACTAGTGGTCTGATCCTCTCCATGAGTGGTGAGGTACACAGATATCACAGGTTTATCCAATGACTCCAAGTTTTTGTGCATTTGTCTTCATATGTTGTTGGAATAGGATCTTGTAATCTTTTAAAAATCTGTATATGGAATGTGGAAACATGACCTTTTCCAATTTCTCATCTTAAAAATATAGGTCTGGGATCCTTTTGAAATTCCCGACATTTAGTTCCTATCTTGCCCAAATCAAAATGATCTTAGCATGGTCTGGTTCGGGAAAGGCCAAGGTAAGGACAGTTGATAAGATACAGTTTTATGCACAATACCTGCTTCTAAGGCAAACTGGCCAGGGGTTCAAGTGGAATCATCAGCTATAAACCTGGGTCTGCATGACTGGTACATTATGTCTCAGTTTTAATCAAAATTTGACACCACTCAAAAATGAGAACTTATTGTATACAAATCGAATCATGGGATTTTTCTATTTCCTACAACATTTTAAACTGATCTTGATGACACACACCTTATAATCCTAATGTTTGGACGGTAGAGGTAGAAGAGTCAAGAATTCGATTCCAGGGACTAGAGAGTTGTCTCAGCAGTTAAGAGCACATGCTGTTCTTCCAATGGACCTGATGTTGATTCTCAGCACCTACATGGTGGCTTACAATTGTTGGAAATTTATGTTCTGGGAGATCTAATGTCTTCTGGCTTCTACAGGCACACATGGTACACAGACATACATTTAGACAACAAATACACATAAAAATAGAATAGAATAAAATAAAAAATAACAGAATTCATGATCATCGTTAACTATATAACAAGGTAAAGGTCAACATGGGGCTACATGACACCTTGTATCAATAACACAAACTTTTCTTTCCCCCCCCTCTTTCTACATCCTTACCACCCCTTTTCTACACATACCACACACACCACTCACGTAGGCACAAACACATGTATGCATGTATTTTATGGTGTGTCAATTACTTAGTGGCAGTAACTAAATCACAGTTGAACAACAACATTTGTTGGAACACAGCTTCTCCCCTCACATATCCTGTGGTTCCTTCAACAAGATACAAATGTCAAATTCTACACACCCACATACATGCCCTATAAGTTTTCTTCTGCAATAGAAACACAAGATTTTATAATTTGGCTATAAGCAAGTTAAGGGTGAATTGTCTGTGGCTATTTCACATTTTTCACTGAATTTTCGTCAAGATCAAAGAACTGACTAGATGTTGAGAATAGAGTTGTCTGAATCCAGATAAGCCGATTGCATGGACGTTAGGTGGGTGATGACACCGTCATTCACGACAAGGGACAGGCAGGACCCTCAGCTCTGTACTGAACATGAAAAACAACCGTCATTGCTAAGGCCTCTTTTGATGTTTTTCCTTTGAGCCAGTGACAAAGTGCACGTGAGAAATGTCTGAACTCCCTTTCTCAGACTGAGGCAAGACTCATTTCATCATTTCTGTAAGCCTTTGCCCATTCATCATCCTGCTGTTGGCAAGGCCTCCCTGACCACCTTACATAAATTGCGAGGGTTCCCACTAGTCAGTCTCTTTCTGGCTTCTCTGCTTCATCTTTTTTTTTTTTTTCAAAACATTTATCACCTTTTCAAATGGTCATAGCTTAAAATATATTCATGTATTTCTTATCTCTTCTTCAATCATTAGAATGTAATTTCTTTGAGGGTTGAAGTTTGAATTTGTTGGTTTCATTCTCATAACCCAGAAAGGTGCTGCGGTTTAGTGCCTGTGTTTCAAATGAGTATTTGTTGAATAAAACAAATACTTGTTGAGTCAGTGCCCACTGAACAAATGAAGAGGGTGGTGCCTCCATATTCATGAAAATTGAGTTATTTTCCACAGTAGATTTCTAAATTTGGCAGGTATAAATTATTTGCAACAACAAACAAAACAGAGCTATGGAGGTAGAACATTGCCTGGTGCATGTGAATCTCTAGATTCTATGCCTGGCACAGGAAAACAAATAGCAAACAAAAATAACAACAAAAACTAAATTTCGATCAGCAATTTTCCTAGTGTTTTTTTTCATTATTTTTTGTTTGTTTTTTTTTTTCATTTGAGTTTGGTTTGCTTTATTTGATAATGTTTAAATGAAATTTGGGTTACTTCAAAGGGGATTAGAAAAGAATTCCCTGTTCCTGCCATGTTTTTAAACGCAGAAAATTTAAAGGAAGATATGCTATTTTGTAGTCCAGCTTATAAATTTTTTTTGTAATTTTCTTTAGTGGTTATCACACTAATATCTGGAGTAAGTATGAATTTTAAAGCCCGTTAACAAACGCTGTATCGATTACATCTAAGTCAGCATCACCTAGAAACTCAGCATTTTTTATTTGCTTCACTCTCTTTGCTATGTATGTACCACAGCCTTCTCTTCCCATGACGATGGATGCCTAATCCAGAAATCATCTTCCACCCTGGGAAAATTTGCGTACATCCTCAAAGATCATTATGAGCAAAACTAAACTAGTTAGCATGAAAAGAAAGCAGCACAATTAAATTTTATTCCTATTTTCCTTAATTCAGAGATTTTCTTGTTTTCTTTCTAAATTGATTTTGGCATGTAGTAATTTTATTTTGTCTGTGGCTAATATTACTGAAAGCATTGCTTATGACTTATGCTGATTTGTATGGATTTCCTTTATGATTGTTTTTATTTTTATTAAAGGGAAATGTTTAAAATAATACATTCAATAATTTATATGTGACTGCCTTAGAAAGGATGCCCTAGTTATTTATAAAAATTGGCCCCAAAATGTGTGTGTATACATATGTATGTATATATGCATTATGTACATATGTGTGTATACATACATGCATATGTACACACACATACACACATATACTTTTTGAATAGGTTATTTCCATTATTCATGTGCTGATGAACTCATGACTATGAGTTCAGTCCTCTCATGTACTTTATATGACCCATACACTATTAAAATCATTGGGAGAGTTTGCAATATGATAATTTAGCTATCAAATCTTCAGAAATACATGGCAGAAGACAAGAGAAGAGGCTTGTCCTTTCTGATGCTAGATGCTCGCCGTTAACTCTAAATTCACTTCTATAGATGTGTTGGGAGGTATGCTGTATCTGCGACTTTTAAATTACGGATATGGAGAGTGAGAACCTCTGTCCCTGAAGTTATAAAAACTTCCTTTCAAGTATTAGACCACTATTTTACATCAGTGTATTAATGGCCTTAATTTGACCACGATTCAGTTAGGGCTGCATTTAACACATATCTACTTGTTTGTCCCAACATTGGGTTTACAAATCATTTATTCTGTCTAAACCATATAGATGGATGAGAACTAGTTCTGACTTCATAGTGATGATCAGAGATGTCTAATGATCGCAGACCTCAAAACTGTTGAGTGGCAGAGTCTGGTTAAGACTGGTGCTGCTTCCAACACTGAAAACCAGTAAGTGCCAGCGCAACCATGTTAGAGATGACTTTGTAGAGCTAATAGAACTGTTTTTAGGGATTGGAATAATTTTCGCATCATATATTACTATTCCTAGCTTTGTGCCAACTCTGTGAAAAATGCACAAAGACTTTAAGTAGACTGAACCAGAGACATTTGTGCCAACACCCTTGTAAGTCAGTAGATTTCTAGCTTGCTTATATTTTTGTACTTTTCATATTGTATTTCTTTTCATATAAAAGTGTCATACTAATGATGATTTCTTACCCAGGAAAGCCAGCTCTGGAAACCGTGATGTATCTGAAATAGGCCCTCTATACTTACATTGAAAACAACCCCAGAATACCATCTTGAAAATAATCTGCTCAGAATAATTCATAAGACTAAATAACCTACCCATGGAAAGGCTTTGAAAGGCTTGGGGGAAATGTGCCATCAAAATGCAAATATGTTTTTATTTAACAAAGAAAAAAATGTTTCTCTGTAGAAACTGGTTTACATCGGATTTGAAGCTAGCATTCCAGTTCTCCACCCGATTGAAACCATTGGCTGTTTTGTTTGCTGGTGTTCTTTGAGCTTCCTTCCATCTGCTGTTCATTGCTGGAGCATGCAGAATTTCTCTGGGTGTATCCTCCAGCAGATTTCTTTGCTACTTTTTTTTTTCTGGGTAGTGCCAGTATCGCTTTTGCTGAGATCTGTGTTTTGGTGTAGCTCTTCCATGACCCGAGCTACAAATTCCTAATTTCCAAAAGAAATAACAAAGCACATGTATGAACCATTTTAGTTTAAATTATTCTGACCCTGTTCCTTACACTAACGTTTTTGCTATTGAGTAACACACTTGTTTTCCTTCCTCTCATTTTATACTTTCTCTTGAACACAGACCTCCTAACTTAGGCAGTTATCAGGTACAGTTAGGCAAACTTATTCTACTGGCCCATAAAATAGAGATTTAACTCCTCTGTTGGATGGAATTTTGGAGTCTTAATCTCTGGTAAGTCAGCGTGTGACCATGGAGATAGGATCTTAATAAAGATAATCAAGTTATCATGAGCTCCGTATTGTGGACCCTAATCCAACATGATCAGCATCCTTATTATAAAAGGTAGAAGTTGGGAATCAGAGACACATGCCAGAAAAACATTATGTGGAGACTGAAGATACCTTGTCTCAAGCTGAGATACCCTCAGAAGCTGGAAGAGAGGTCAGGACCAGATCCTCCCTGAGAGCTTCCTTTTAGGCACTGTAGCCCTGCTGATACTCTCATAAACTTTAGCTTTGGAGCTGAGACAGGACACTCCCGTTGTCTAAGCACATTTCGGGCCTTAGTTATTACAACTCTAACTTTCCCATATTCTTATTGTCCATTCATATTCTCTTGCTCTGTATGTCTGGCTGTCTTTCTGTCTCTCTTTCTCTCCCTCTTCACATGTTTTTCATTTCAATTTCTTTCCTGTCTAGAACAGACTAGTTTTGAAATCACTACATAGAAGAAGGTGACCTTGATCATGAACCTGTTGCCTCTACTTCCAAATGCTAGGATTATAGGCACATGTGACAAATAGATCCCAGCCCATTCTGTCTCTTGATGTCTATCCCCTCTGAGGTTCCTATACCTACCTGATTCTTTAGCAGGTAGGAAATTGATATTCAAGGGAATGTGAATTGTGAGTGGTATTCACTTAAAGGGTGGCCTAGTTGACCTCGTTTGTCAATGTCACATAACCAAGAGACAGTTTAGATGAAGGAGTCTCAATTGAAGGGCTTCTCAGATTGTTGGCAGAGGTTTCTGTCTTGCCCAGTCCCTCAGCCATTCAGTCCCAAAAAAGCACACAGAGGTCTATATTAATTATAAACTGGTTGACTTATTAGCTCAGGCTTCTTTTTAACTCTTATAATTTATATTAGCCCATAGTTCCTGTTTGTGTTAGTCGTGTGGCTTGGTACCTTTTATCAGTGAGACAGTTTCATCTTGCTGTCTCTGTGTCTGAATGATGACAGAAGATTGAGTCTTTCCTCTTCCCAGAATTCTCCTATTCTGGTTGCCCAGCCTCTGCTTTCTTCCTGGTCATGCCGCCTATACTTCCTGCCTGGCTACTGTCCAATCAGTGTTTTATTAAAATACAGTGACAAATCTTTACAAAGTGCAAGGCCATTGTCCCACAGCATCATATCAGATTGGCCATGAATCTATTTGTGAGGAATTGTCTTTACTGCTGATTGGTGTGGGCCCAGCCCACTATAGACAGTACCACCTCTGGGCAGATGGTGTATAAGGTAAGCATAAGAAAGCTGCCCAAGCACAAGACAGAGATGCAAGCCTGTAAGGAATAACCATCCTCTATGGCTTCTACTTCAGTTCCTTTCCTGGCTTCCTTCAGTGATGAACTATGACCTGGAAGTAGAAGCTGGAATTAACCCTTTTCTTTTGCTTTTGGTCATGCTGTTTTTCACTGCAATAGAAAGACAACTAGAACACAGGACCTAGAAAAATGTCATTATTGTATTTCTGACCCTGTAAGGCAGGAACAGCACTGAAAATATTTTCCTTGTCTTATGCTACTTCACTTTTACAATACTTAACATTCGTTATGAAATTACTTTGAGGTACATAGGTGTCAATTGAATTCTTTTTTGCACAATACTTAACATTCGTTATGAAATTACTTTGAGGTACATAGGTGTCAATTGAATTCTTTTTTGCAATATATTTTTATTAATTCTTTAAGAATTTCATACAACATATTTGATCATATTCACATCCCACTTTCTCCCCTTCTAGCTCTTCCCTGATCCAATCCGTGTCCCAGTCCCTCTTCAGTTTATGTCTTCTTAGCTCTATTAGTGTGCTACAGAAGTCACTGGTTCTCAGCACACATCTTGCTCTCCTGGCTCTTGCAGTCCATGCACATCTATTCTTCATTGTTCCCAGAGCCTTAGGTGAGGGGGTTGGGTTGTAGATGTATAAACTGGGGGCAAGTACTCCACAGTTGTGGTTACTGTAATTTTCTCTGTCTGCTACAAAGAGAATTTTCTTGAACGAGTGGTGAGGCCTACACTTATACATATATCTAATCTTATTTAGCATATATAGACAAATTTACATACATTTTAAAATATTTGGTGTTAACTTAAATATTGTGGTATGTCCTTCTGTGTATGTAATGCTTTTTTTTGGTTAATGAATAAATCTGTTTTGGCCAATGGCTTATCAGAGTAAAGCCAGGTGAGAATCTGAATATATATATATATATATATATATATATATATAGAGAGAGAGAGAGAGAGAGAGAGAGAGAGAGAGAGAGAGAGTAAGTGGAGTCAAGGAGACACCATGTAGTTGCCAAAGAAGGACACTGGAATCTTACTGGTAGGCCACAGCTTACACAGATTAATAGAAATGGGTTAATTTAAAATGTAAGAGCTAGCTAGGACTATGCCTAAACCATTGGTCAAACAGTGTTGTAGTTAATATAGTCTCTGTGTGATTATTCTGATATGGATGGCTGGGAAACCAATGAGCAGTCTCTGCTTAAACTTAAAACTTTATTTTAGAAAAATACAGATCATTGTAATATTTGGTACTCTGGTATTTAACAAAAATATTTATTCTTTAGAAAGAATTTGTTTTTTCACTTGCACCGAATATATTAAGGCTATTTATAGTTGTTTTTACTTTTATTACTGTCTTCAATTTGTGAAATTATTATTCATTTGATACTTCTTTTATTATTAAATGAAAATTTTAATGAAGATATAATTACATAGTTTCCCCTTTCTTTCCTCCCTCCAACCCTTTCCAACTACACTCTCTTCCACTCTTTCTTGAAATTGAGGCCTCTTTTCTTTATTATTGTTACATATATATGTATATATATTACAAACATAATCCTAAATATGTAAATTCAACTTGTTTGGTTTGTTTAATGTTACTTGTATGTATACAGTTTCAGGTCTAACCACTTAGTATTGGATAATCAATTAGAGGGCTCATCCCCGGGAAGACTATTAGTCTGATCTTTTGTTAGTTGCCTGTAGCTCCTTTTCTAAGAGTGGGGCCCTGTGAAATTTCCCCTTCCATGTTTGTGTGTCTGTAGGTGTTATATCTTATTTTGGTGGTCATATTATTGAGGTGTCATAGGTGATGCTTTTCTGTTATTTCAAGGATTTATAATCTTGTGTAATAGCATGTTTCCTGATCCTCTGTCTCACAACAACCTTTCTATCCCTTCTTCCATGATGTTGTTATCTGAGCCTTTGGTGCAGGAGTTGTGCCCTAGATTCATCCACTGAAGAAGCTAGGCACCCATGATTGGGCATGTTCTCTGCATTTTGACATGTCATTATTTTGTTTTTCTTTTTATGGTCTCCATCTGGTGCAAAGAAAAGGTTTTGATTGTTTTTAAAACCAAGGAGTGGGAGGAGCTTACCTATGGGTTAAAGGGTAAATATTTACAGTGTAGCTAGGAATTGTGCTGGTTTAGTACTGTACAATAGTTGGTTCTCCTCTATGATTCATGACCTCACTATTCCCAGGTAGCTGACTGCATTTCCAGCACCAGACATGGTTTCCCTTCTGTTGAGATGGTCTTAAGTCTGACTATATACCTACCGTTTACTGCCAAGAAATGAGTGTATCACTACTGGACTCAGGATTTTCATGACACACTGATTGTTGTTGATGTATAGTTGCTACAGCTGGGTAGGACTGTTAATTGTGTCCTTCCTTTGGAAACTTGTATAGCTCATTTTGTCACTCTGAATGCTGGTCCTCTGAGAAGAAGCTTTTAGGTTAGACACCACTTGGATCCTACAGGTCTTTTTGTCCAAAGTGCATGGTGTCTCCTGAAACTGAGATTTACCTTTAACCTCTGAGAGGAAGCCAAAAGAAAAATACAATAGGTTAGATAATTTGGGGAATCTTCTATTCTCTTGAACACCAACTTGAAATTATAAAAATTTTGGAAAATAGATGAAAGTGAAAAATACCATATCAAATGAGGGTGGTCATGCCTGCAAAGATATCTTTGTTACATTTTTCTAAATTTTTTTGGTACAGAAAGTACCTTTATTTTTGTAAATTAATGGTTCCCCCTCTGACAATTGATGACGCTGGACTACAGATCTTAAAAGGAAATAATATATGGTTTATTTTGAAGTCAAAATGAGTAACTACAATCCCAGAACACAGATCAGGTTACTCCAAATACCACGTCCCAATGTGATAACTGTTTCATGAAGGTTTTATAGTTACAGAACAAAAAAGTATTTACTCAAGGCACTTTGGTGAGAATATCAGGTCCAACCAAGTGGGAAGCTCTGCTGTAGGTCTTAGGTGTGACCAAGAACATTTCCGGCTTTCAGACTAGGGCAATCTAGTGGTATATTAATGGATCTCAAAAGTTTTAACATGGTAATCTGAGACGAAACACAAGGGTGGACAGAAAATGTTACTGACGGTGTTAAACATTCCAATATATTGCTTATGGATCTTTAGCATTCTAGCTCTTCGTGATCATCGAAGTCCTAATCAATGAGTCAACCTTTCATATATTTTAGCATTGGTTTGCCTATTTTATTATGTTGGGGTGATTTGAAAACTTCAGCTGTGCTGTTGGAGCTCCTTCCACTCCTTCAGCCAATAGCCTTCTTAAAGGAAGAAGGAGCAGAAGGAGCTCCCACAGCATAGTTGACACAATCTTGTTAAAATTCCTCATGAATTATTAATTTATTTAGATGTTTTTGTGCTTAATTTTTGATAATATTACCTATAAGGAACATTTTTATCATCTTCACCATGGTTTACATCTTACATGATTATTATTTTTTAGCATTGGCCAGGAGTTCTCACACATGTTAAGCAATACTGTTGCTGAGAGTATTCTGGCTTTATTTTGAAATATATATATTATTTATATAAAAGCCATCACCATAGAATTAGTGATAAGTCAGTAGACAAAGAATATAAAAAGATAACCATCTTAAGATAAATGAGTAGTATATATGTTCAGCATCATTCATGAAACAAAATAAAAATGAAAAATATTCTCTTTAATAACCTCTGATTGACAACCATTTTAAAAGTTGGAAAATACCAGACATTTGGATATTTTTAGAATGTTCACAACAAATCACAAGAAATTGGGGGCCTTATACAACAGAAATTTGTTTTACAGTTCTATGACCAAGAAACTTTAAGATCAAAACACTTTGATTATTCTTCATCATGAAGGTTGCTGAGGGATCATCTCAAGACTCTATCCTTGCTGCAGGGGACTTGCTGCCCATTGAGAGCACTCCCCGAATTCTGCTGCAGGACTGTGAGGTCTGCTATCTTCTTCACATGGTTTTCTCTCTGCAACACTGTGTTCAACTCTTTTTTTTTTTTTTTTTTACAAAGAACACAGTTAACTGAACTGAAAGCCAATCCTCTTTCAATGCAACCAGCTTAACTCTACCTTCTCTGACTCTGTTTCTGAGCATAATCACATTGTCATTTTGTGGATAATGGTCCTTCATCCTGTCACTTGTATTATTTTTAATAAAACGCTGATTGGCCAATAGCCAGGCAGGAAGTATAGGCAGGGTGACCAGGCAGGAAGTAGAGGCAGGGTGACAAGAACAGGAGAATTCTGGGAAGAGGAAAGGTCATTTTGCTGTTGTCACGCAGCCACAGAGGAAGAAGATGAGAATCCCTCGCTGACAAAGGTGCCAAGCCACGTAGCTAACACAGACAAAAATAATGGATTAATTTAAGATGTAAGAATTAATTAATAAGAAGCCTGAGCTACTAGGCCATTCACCATTTTATTAAAAATAATACAAGTGACAGGATAAAAGATCATTGTCCCACAGCACTGTCAGAAGCTGTGGAATAGTGTCTCTAAGGACTTTAAAATTTAGTCTGTGCCATCATCTGTCCCTAAGGATGCAGAGCACAGCAAACTCCTGTACACACTTGATAGCAACATACATTATCATGATTGCTCTGAAAGCAATTGCTGGTATGTTTTCAAATGATGTTTAATTATAAACCAGAAGTTTTTATCTTGCTGTCTGCCCTCAAGACAGTGTTACATATGAGATTAAGATAAAGATGTTCACTGTCTGGTGTGTTAGAACTGGATAAGATAGATACTTTGGAGATGAAATTACTGTTTCATATTTCAACAAGGTTAAGTGGCAGAGATAAAAGATAAGTCATAAGTTACAGAATGATAGGTCTGCTGATGTTTCCATGTTTTATGCTACATGGGATCTATTGATAGCTTCATTAGTCCTAAGTTACAGAGTGGCTCATATCCACTGATGGTTCCATGTTTTACGTTACATGGAATCTATTGCTAGCTGTATATGTGTGCTGAGACATATTTCAATCCAGAGAATACATGAGAGAAAGAGAAGAGTTAGGGATTGGAGCTGTCGATAGGCTGCAAGCATAGTCAGTGTTTGCTTTTCTAAAAAAGTTAAAATTAAAGAAAATATAAGATAATGTTAATATTTATTAAATCTGCAACGTGGGATTTCATTGCATTAGTCCCTAATTTTTCCATATGCTTTAAATATTTTATGACAAAATATTTTTTTAAAAATCTCAGCAGGACAGAACAATGTGCTGACAATAATATGATAAAGATTAAGAGGGAAGAATTTTAAGATCCTTAATCTCAAGTCAAATGGAACTCTTACTAGCTGGACGCATACACAGTAGGGGGTATATGGGTTAAAATAAGAATTTGTTTAAATTTCTAGATTTGATTTGACTGTAATTTCTTGTATCAATACTACGAAAGCCTGCCAACAAACCTAATTCATGCTGGAGTCAAACAGCCTAAGCATAGGCTCCACAAGAGAAATGGAGATCACTTTCAACTCTGAGGAAGTCAGGAAGTGTTTTTCAATTCTGTAGATCCCGGGAACTGTGTGAGGAAAACGGTCAGAGCAGAGGGAGGAGCTCAGAGTTGTGTGACGGGTGACTGTAGGGCACATTGGCTTAGGAAAAGACTCCGAGAACTGGGAAAATGTCCACTGAGGTCTTGTGTTTGACTTTGATATGCCCCGATGAGAGTGGATGGTAAGGGATAAAAATTGCAAGGGATTGCCAGTGTTCTGCGTTATCTAAATGCAAAGATCTTTCCAAGGGTGGGAAGAATCAGAATTGGCTGTATGTGGCATGATCTTTCCCAGGATGCAGTGGGCTCCTCACTATTAATCCTTGATTAAGACAGATCTCTACTATAGAAATGTTTGTTGTTATCTAGACAAAAACAGTGACTTCAGAACTTGGATGTGTATACTTGAAAAGCCAAGGGACTCCCACCTTCTATTCTGCTAAGAAAGATTTCCACAATGAAACAATCAAGTAGTAGATATTGCCTCGTCTCACCACAGTGGAGTAAAAAGCATTTTAATAGCAAGATAAAGAAACAGGTTAACAAAGAATTACTTTTTATGCTCAAGTTAAAGTTGGCCATTGTAACCTGACACTTTAAGAAAGATGTATACATTTTGGCCTGGCGCCATAACTCAGTGAATAAAAGTGCTTTGATTCCTGTAACCGATGTGACAAACTGGAGAACCAACTCCCACACATTGTCCTCTGACTTTCACACACATGTGCACATGTGCTCTCACACATGTACACCACTCTCATCCACAAAATAAAACAAGTTTTAAAGTATATGCTAAGATATTTTTTAAATGGTAAAATAAGATTTTTACCAAATTCTGCATTTTGATATATGGTAATTTTTCTTAATTTATCAACTTGGGAATGCATAAAGACAACAGTATAATATGGAAGAAAACAAGTGTCTAGACTAAACTTGAAATTTATTTCCTTGAGTTATTCAGGCATACTTTGTCAGTGACCTAGAGAAAGCGAGAAAGCAACACATTTCAAATATAATTTCATTTAACTTTAAATATTTCAGGTATGTTGAGAAAAGTCAAAAAAAAAACAACTTCGAAAAAAAAAGCTCTAGCTGACTCTTCGCCTTCCTTTTTTGGGTAGAATAGGTCAATATCTGAGAACAAGTCAATTTAGAAGAAAGTTTCCAGGGGCTCCAAATATTTGCTTACATGTAATGACTCAAGCTTAAAATAGGAACGAAAACCCATGGTGGTGAGGAGGCTGCTTGGTAGGGTCGATGTGACTCCTGACTACAGCACATGTTACAGGACCTATAGGATCAACATCAATCTGTTTAGAGAACCATGCTCTTTCACATTGGCCTGACTGGGGATTTCTCTAGAATATTTCTCAACCCTTACATTTTTTGTAACAGAATTCTTTCCTGTACAGAATGCATTGTACTGTCCCCAGCTTCTGCTGTCACGTGGTTCTAGTAACTTCAACTACAATTGCCACCATCAAAAGATGTCTCTGGAAGGAAGTGTATCGTGTTCCCCCTTGGTTATGAAGCACAGTCTTCATAGTCACTGGGACCAGTCTACCTACGTGTCCAGATGGGTTGCCATTTGCTTGTCTCTGCCATCTCAAAACCCAAGAGGATCAGCAGGCACTAGGGTGGCCCGAGTTACAGCTTGCCTTCCATTCAGTCAGAGATCTTTGATCTTTGGGACATGGATAAAAATCCATGGGAACAAATTTCAGCTGCACTACAGTGTAAGGAAACTAGTGAACCTTTAAATACCACGGCTGCCCTCTTTGCATTAATCAGTTCGAAGAATACTGGGCCTCTTTTATCTTGCTGTTCCTTCTTTCTTGAAAATTACCTCAAGGTATTTCAGAATACTTTTAAAGTTTTTTGTCTGACCATTACATTTCCATCATCCACCAAAAGCCATCAAAACATTAACTTGATTATTTGGGGGAAAATCCTTACTTACGTAGACAACTTTCTCTCGA